AGAGGCCCGGGGCACAAAAATTTGTGCACTCGGGGGAAGGGGGGGGTCCCTCAGACCGGCCTGTGCCCTCTTGCAGTCTGGGACCCTCGGGAGATAACGACCTGCTGGCTTAGGCCTGCTCCCGGGTGGCAGAGGGCAGGCCCAATCCCTAGGTGCAGCCCCTGGTCCGGCTCAGAGCAGGGCCGATTGGGGACTTGGGGCGCCTTTCCCTGTCATGCACAGAGCAGGGCAGATTGGGAGGTTGCGATGCCACCCTCAGTCACGCTCAGGGTAGGGCCGATTGGGGGGTTGGGGCACCGCCCCGTCACACTCAATGCAGGGTCGATGGGGAGGTTGCGGCGCCACCCCGTCATGCACAGAGCAGGGCCCATCAGGGGGGTTGGGGCTCCATACCCTGTCATGCACAGAGCAGGGTCAATCAGGGGGTTGAGGAGCTCCCCCCTGTCACTCACAGAGTAGGGCCAATAGGGGAGTTGGGGCACCGCCCCCTGTCACACTCAGGGCAGGGCAGATCAGGGGGTTGGGGCATCGCCCTCTATCACCCACAGAGCAGGGCCGATCAGGGGGTTGGGGGGCTGCCACTGTCCCACTCAGGGCAGGGCAGATGGGGAGGTTATGGCTCTACCCCGTCACACACAGAGCAGGGCCCGTGGGGGGAGGAGGGGCGGGTTGGGGCCCCGCCCCCTGTCACACACAGAGCTGCAGGGCGATCAGGGGGTTTGGGCGCTGCCCCCTGTCACGCTGATCGCGGTGCCGGGAGGCCTCGCGGCTCCGCTGATCCTGGTGCTGGGAGGCATATTACCCTTTTACTATATAGAATAGAGGCCTGGTGCATGGGTGGGGCTGGCTGGTTTGCCCTGAAGGGTGTCCTGGATCAGGGTGGGGGTCCCCACTGGGCTGCCTGGCCAGTCTGGGTGAGGGGATGATGGCTGTTTGCAGCTGGTCACACACCCTTCAGGGTGGGGGTCCCCACTGGGGTCCTGGCCAGTCTGGCTGAGGGGCTGAGGGCTTTTTTCAGGCTGGGACTGAAGCTACCAACTGCTCCGTTTTTTCTTTTTTTTATTCTGGGCCAGCTTTAGCTCTGAGGCCTCGGCTGCTGAAAACAGGTTTCTGGCCTTTGTTTACCGTCTGTATTTTATACAATGTTGCGGTCCGGCTGGCTGAAGCCCCGCTGAGTACAACAGGTTTCTGGGGGTTTTTTTAGCTTCTTTATTCGCAACATAGTTACTGAGAGTTGCAGCTGAGAGGCCGGCAAGTCAGGCGGGGAACGTTGGAGTCCTCTGTCACTGAAGCAAGCAAGCCTCATGTTAGTTTCAAGCTGCCTGGCTGCCGGCCGCCATCTTGGCTGCCAGTTAATTTGCATATCTCGGCCCTACTCTGTGAGTGACGGGGATTAGCCAATGGGAAGGGTATCGGAGTGACACTAATTACCATGTTTCTCTTTTATTAGTGTAGATACTGTCTTAGTTTGTGAGAGAGGGGTTTTAGAACATCACCAGTACGAATATGCCTTGAGATCAAGGAAGGTGACGGCCCCTCCCACCAGGGACACTTGGGAGAGTCTGTCCAAACTGAGAGTGATTCGGAGTGCCAAGAGGCCTGCTGAAAAGACAAAGCAGGAGAATGAAGACGTGAGCGTCAAGAAAATAAGGGCCCGAAGTCACCGGGGCTGTGACAATGTTTAGCTCAGGTGTTCAAGGGGGGAAAGTAGGAAATGTAGTTTAGTGATAAGTTCTAGAACAATGTTTGCTGTAAATTTAAATGTGGATTCTGTAAATAATGCTCTCCGGGTGCTTAAGGGAAGAAAGCTTTTAAAAAATTTCTGATTCTCAATAGTTTATTCAAAAACCCTGCATGGAGTTATGAAGGGGGCACTCCTGGGTCCCCAGAAATAACAATTTAAGACAGGTGGGGGGTGGGAGGGAAGTTTGAGCCTAGCTGTGCCCTTCAACTTTGCCAAATGCAGCCTTGAAGTCGACCTCTCCCAGTCAGCTGTTCCCGGGTCCTAGCCCTTGCATTTTAAATGCTTCTGTGTTTGTCGGTGTCCCTACCAGGACCGCTAAGTCAGGGGCTTCTGTCCTTGTGGCGTTCCCCCACCCCCCAGGGCAGGCCCTCAGGAAGTGATAGGAAGGGATAAGTGCTTATCGGTATGTCTTCACTGTGAGGAGGCCTGTGGTCCGTTCCCTGGGGTTGGTTGTCTGCACAGGACTGGCTCGTCCGGGACTCTTGTCACTCAGGGAATGAACGCGACCCGGAGGATGGCCTCTGACCCCATCTTCAGGGCACAGGAGTCAGACAGACATCTCGGGGCTGACTGGTGGCATGCCTTTTTCACTTGATATTTGCCTAACCTAGGACTGCGCTCATCTGAGAAGGACCCCATCCACCCTCCCATCGGCTAGGGGCTGACACCTTCTTAGCTCCTTGTGTCAGACTCCCAGATAAAAAAGGTTAATGTCTCTGAGCTTCTGCTGGCCCTGGTCCTGCCTGTGCTTTTTTCCGGCTGCGCTTGTCAGCCTACTGAGTGCCCAGCACCCACCAGGGACAGAAAGCAGCTTGAGCCATCCTAACGCAAGGCCATTTCAGATGGCAGCAGGCACCAGGGCCCTTCGCCAAGGGCCCACGTTTTCATTGCGAGCCGGTACTGCCCAGTCGCGTGTTAAGCCCAGACTTCCTTCTGTTTCAGGCCTAGATGTGCATCTAACTGTTGGCATCTCTGTTTTTATGTGCCACTGTGTCCTCCTGTCCCTCTGTGTCCCCTAGTCAGGAAATAGCACATCTTTCGTCCAGTCACCTGTCTGGACTCCTCCCCAATCACCGGCCTTGTCAGGCTGAGGTGAGGATGGAAGACACGGAGGTGGCTGTCCCGAGTATGAGTGTAAGGGCCGTGACCTTGTCTGTCCCCTCCTGTCTGTCCCCTCCTGTCCTCTGTGTCTGGCGTGGAACTAGGTTCATATAGAAATAAACCTTTGTTAACAAACAAACAAAGAAATATGTAACACATTCATGTAGTTGAAAGTTTGGTATTAGCCACATGAAAAAAGTATAATAAAACAGGTGAAATTAATTTTAATATTTCATTTAACCCAATATATCCCTAATGTTATAATTTCATGAACATAAGGATTTATAATGAAGTATGTTTTATTCTTTTTAATCTTTGAAATCTGGTGTGTACTTTGTATTTCAGCATATCTCAATTAGAACTGGCCACAGTTCACACTACATGTGGCCAGCAGGAAGCATCCTGGACAGCATAGTTCCAGAGATGGCTAAAGCAATTAGTGTTCTTCCACAGGTTCTCTAAAATGTTCTTGTGTCAGATGCTCTAAATGCTTATGGATTCTTCCTTTTTAAAAGTATGCCTCCTCAGTGATAGTATTTTTCTCTTCTTTATTTTTATTTTTATTTATTTATTTATTTTTTTAAATATATTTTATTGATTTTTTACAGAGAGGAAGGGAGAGAGATAGAGAGTTAGAAACATCGATGAGAGAGAAACATCGATCAGCTGCCTCCTGCACATCTCCTACTGGGGATGTGCCCGCAACCCAGGTACATGCCCTTGACCGGAATCGAACCTGGGACCTTTCAGTCCGCAAGCCGACGCTCTATCCACTGAGCCAAACCGGTTTCGGCTTTTCTTTATTTTTATATATTCTCTAGGAGGTGGGGATTTTTCAGGGAGCCATGGAAGAGTTGCCTATTTGGAGGATTTGTTGTGCCATGTGTATTAGCAGAAAAGAACAGGAAACTTTTAAACCAGCCCCCAGACTCTAAAGCTAGTTCCTGTTCTTCCTGTAGCTCCGATTCCTGGAATATTAAACTCCTTGGAAGCCTCAATTTGCTTATCTGTATTCCTTCCTTCCCTTGATTTCATACCTATTAGGAAGGATGGGTAGTAGGGACTCCAGGGAGGAGAGGAGAGGAAGGAAGGAAGGCAGCTCTTCTGTGGCTACTTTAAAAATTCCCATCTTGCCCTTGATTTCATACCTATTAGGAAGGATGGGTAGTAGGGACTCCAGGGAGGAGAGGAGAGGAAGGAAGGAAGGCAGCTCTTCTGTGGCTACTTTAAAAATTCCCATCTTGCCCTGGCCAGTTTGACTCAGTGGATAGAGCGTCGGCCTGCAGACCAAAGGGTCCTGTTTGGGGCTCGTTCAGGAGGCAACCATTCGATATGTTTCTCTCACATTGATGTTTCTGTCTTTCCCTCTCTCTTCCACTCTCCCTGAAAATCAATTGAAAAATATCCTCAGGTGAGGATTAACAAATAAACAAACAACAACAAAAAATTCCCATTTCCTGAAAATAATAGTATTTTTCTAAATAAGTGTATCCCATGTACTCCCCTTACAGATGGGCAGAGTGGGCCCCTGCCTTTTGCTCTATACTTTGGTGTGCCTTTATCAAATTTTTCCAAGCCTCCAATCCTACCATTCCTCCCTGCCTCAGTGCTTGAAAGGCAGGGTGCCCTGAGCTCTTACCTTTTAGGAATGTCATATGAAGAATTATAGTAAATTTCCTAATTATATTGAAAATAGAAGCTTCATTTTATTGTGCTGATTTTATTGTTCACTACTATCTATATATATAAAACCCTAAGCAACTGGTTGACCAGTCGCTGTGACATGCACTGACCACTTGGGGGCGGACACTCAACGCATGAGCTGACCGATGGGTGCCAGACCCCGGGCTCACAGCTGGCGAGCACAGCTGCGTCAGTGCGAGCCTCTCCTGCCTCCTCTGCAGCGCTACCTGGGCAGCGGGACCTGGATGAGCAGGCTCCTCCCTGGCCGCCTGCTGTCTCTTGCACTACTACATCCCCCGAGGGGTCCTGGATTGTGAGAGGGCACAGGCCAGGCTGAGGGACCCCACCGGGCCTCTAGTATATCATATTTTCCTTCTAAATTATTTTTCTCTTCTTTCATATATTTCTTTAACTAGTGTGTACATATTTAGGGTTATAATTATTAATTATCTTTCTTCTTCTATCTTTCCAGTACTGATTTGAAGCTCTTGGAGGAGGCAACTATTTCAGTCTGCAGGTCTTTAGGTAAGGTGGAGAAATGAGCATGTATGTGTATGTATGTGCATATATATGTATATGTATGTGTGTGTGGGTACTTGAAATTTTCTATTATAAATTTTGATAGTGTAATATGAATTGAATTAATGATGTTTTCTTGATGATGATGATAATAATAATAATAATTCTATTCATGGTGCTCATGGATGCTACTAGAATGTGCCATTCAGTCATTAGCAGTAAATCACATGCTTGGTTAATTTGCAGTGGTGGTAATAGACTCTGCTAAGCACGTGTTTTATTGCTAATGACTGGATGGGACTTGAAAGGTATCATTCTATTCTCTTTCTGCTTGTCTCATTTTTGTTGTGATAAAAGTTGTCAATGTCATTGTTTTTCCTTTGAAAATAATGGAATTTTTTTCTTGGAATGTTCAAGTTTTTCTCCTTGTCCTTTGGTTTTTAGCATTTTAGAATGATGTGCTGAGGAGTGGTTTTCTTTTTTTGCTGCTTGAGGTTTGTAGAGCTTCTTAAATCTGTTGGTCGATATCTTTCATCAGTTTTGGAAAATTCTCAACCATTATTGGTTTATTCACTGTTTCTATCCTATTCTGTTTCTCCTCTCCTCTGGGACTTCTGTTATACCCTTTTAACATTTTCAGTATGTCTCATATGTCTGCTAAGGCTTTTTTTTTTTTTTTTGGTATAGATTAATGTTTTTCCATCATTTTTGGCAGGTTTGTTGCCATTATTTTTGTTGGGCTTTTTATGTTCATTTTTCCCTCTCTCTGACCTTTAAGAGTATATTTTCTTTTAACCTGTCTTTTGTTTACTAATCTTGTCTTCTATTGTATGTCATCTGCTATTAAATCTATCTACTGAGATGTTTAAAATAAAAATTTAATTTTAGAATAGCTTTAGATTTACAGAAAAGTTACAGAGCTATAGAGTTCCCATATAACTCTCATCAGTTTCCCTTATTGTTAACATCTTATCACAATCAGAAAATCACCACTGATACAGTGCTATTAACTAACTCAATACTTTATTCAGATTTCACTATTTTTCTCTTACTGTCCTTTTTCTTTTCCAGGATCTCATTCAGGATACCACAGTACATTTAGTCATCATGTCTCCTTAGCCTTCTCTGGTCTGCAGTGGTTTTTTGGATTTTTCTTACTTAGAGTTTTGAGGAGTACTAGTAGGGTACTTTTCCGAATGCCCCTCGAGTTGAGTTTGTTTGATGTTTTTCTCGTGTTTACACTGGGGTGATGGGTCTGTAGGAGGAAGACCACAGAGGTGAAGTGTGTTCTTAACACATCGTATTAGGAGTAAGTGCTATCACATGAGCTTATCTCTGATGATAGTGACCTTGATTACTTGGCCAGGGTTGTGTTTGTCATTACTTCACTGTAAAGTAGTGGTTCTCAACCTTGGCTGCACATTAGAATCACCTGGGAATCTTTTTAAAATCCTGGTTTCTGGGGCCTCATCATTAGTAACAAAGAAACAGAATTTCCGGAGGATGAGGCCCAGAAATCAGGATTTTAAAAAGATTCCCAGGTGATTCTAATGTGCAGCCAAGGTTGAGAACCACTGTGCTAGGAGACGCTTTGAGAACCAGGTCAGTTGTTTTATGTGAGTAGCTGGGGGAGGGCGTGTGTTTTTCTTATGAAGAGGAAGGAGTTAGCTGTCCCCCTCTTCTCCTCTTTACTCCAGTCCTTTGGTATGTAAATAAAAGCTCTTCAGGAGCCAGATAAACTCTCTCCCTGCCTTGGCTTTTTAGACCTAGCGGTGTTTCCAAGTTCTGGGACCTCATGTCTCTTTGAAAAGTGGATACTTAGGAAGATGATACTGGAGTCTCTCCTACTCCTTTGGAGCCAGCTTAGGCGCTTATCTTGTGATGTAACTGCTTGGCTTTCTGTGAGATAAGGAAGTTTTAAACACATGGCTACAGTTCTAATCCTGATGGTATGTGAAATGATTCTGGGAGAAGTAAAAGCAGACATTCTCTCACTTCATAGCATGTATGTTTTGCTGACCCAGGAGACGAAGGCTTTTTTACAGGAACACTGAGAAATACAGGGAGGTTTTATTTCCCACAACTTTTTCAGATATTTTCTTCTCTCCTTCCATTCCTTCTGGGTCTCCTATTACTATATCTGAGTTTTCCTTAGTTCTAGGGTATTGCTGTTAGTCAGGGATGTCAATGGAAAGTCCTAGGCCAGGGGTGGGCAACCTTTTTGTGAGTTCGTGCCAAAACCAGCAAAATCTCTGACTCAAAATTCTTCTGCGTGCCAACCCTAATTTTTTGAGAACATGTTACACCTACTTGATATCTCTTAAGGTGTACGTATGTGAAGAACCTTAAAGAAAAAATTCATTCGAGCGACAAAAACACAGTATAGGATGATGAAAAATACATTTATTTTTTAGTGTATACATGTACACTGATCGTCCGACGGAAACCTTTATGACTCCGTTTGATATTATCAGTGGGACTTTTGCTGCTGCATCACTGATGACAGAGATTTTACATCAGGTTTATATTTCGTGACCTTCAGAGATATGCACAAGCTACTACTTTCATCCGTCAGGCTACTCCTATTATGAGACTTAACAAAATTCATCACTGAGAACAAAGATTCACAAGCGTATGTGGATGAAACCAAAACACTGGTCGGATCTAGGAAGGCAGGGAGAGTTAAGGCAGAGGCATAGAAATTGCTCTTCCCCTCTCTTGTCAATCCATGTCTATGGTCTTTAAGATAACTTGTTATGTAAAATTATTTATCTAAGATGGACCTACACTGAATTTATCTGAAAAATAAAAAAGTCGATATTAAGAAAAAAATTGTAAATGGAAGATTATAAGAGGGTTTTGCGTGCCAGCAAAAGTTACTGGCGTGCCATGTTTGGCACGCGTACCAGGGGTTGCCCACCCCTGTCCTAGGCAGTAACCAAGTTCCTCTGATTGGGCAGGAGTTAACTTTAAATTCTGCCTCCTCAGCACCAGGCAGCTGCTGATGTGTTTATGTTGTTTCAGCTCTCATTTGCCTGTTTCCAATGGGTTCCTTGGATTCTTTTTCCTTTGGAGTGCAGGAGTAGGTCAAGCATGACAGACAACTTCCTTGTACACAAACTTCTTTACTGTCATGTCCCTCAAAACTCTGTAGGAGTTCATCTGTTCTTTTGTGGCATCTAGTATTCACCTGAGAGGAAGTCTGAGACCTAAATTTCTTTTTGTTCCTTTGTTCATAAGACTTTCCCCCTATAACCATTATGATTAAATGTTCCTCATTATACTTTTTTCTTTATGATTTTCCCTGTAATTTGATGAGGTCTTTTTATTGGTTTATTAACAAGCATTTTTGTGAGCTTTTTCAATTCTGAAGTTTTCTGTAGTGACGGCTTTGATTTTACTTGTTTTAGTTTCTCCTCCTCCAACTTGGCATTGTCACCTGTGAGGTTCAGGTTGGATCTCTGTTCTTTGCCTTCTGCATCATCTTTTTCTTCATCTCTGTTCTTTTCTTGTAATTCCTCTTTTATATCTTTGGTTCAATGTTTATACATTACAGTTCTTGTCTTTTAAGATTCTAATGTATCTTTTAGTTGTTGTTGCATTTTTAATCAATCTAGTTTTCCTAATATGTCAGTGCGCTCTTTTCATTATACTAATTTTTCCCAGGTGCTTTCTGTTCCTTTTAAAAATAGATGGTTCATTTTCCTATTTTCCACTAATGATGGTTGTGTACCAAAGTTCTTTTTGCCAGTTCTGATTCAGCTCTTCTGCTGAGGTTTCAGCATATCCTGTTCCTTATTTTGTTGTTACTATTGTTTTCTTCATAGTCATAAAACCAGCAAATATTTATTGAGCACCTATAATATTATAGCTGGGTGACTGACTGCAATAAAGACCCACCCAGGTCCCTGACCTCATGAATCTGTCTTAACGGGGAAGCCAGACCATAAATAAATAAATACATATATTTTATATAATGATGACTCTTCAGAAAAATAAAGCAGGGAGAAGGCAGAGAGTGAGAAGGGATGGCGCTTGCTGCCAGAGCGTATGTTTATTAACCCTGTTCCTGTGTGGCTTCTCGAGGTGCTTGCTGAATCTGTTGTTTTACCTTGAAGGTAGGCTGGTGCTGTGTTCTAGCCTGACTTCTAGAACATGTTGTACATGTTTGATTGGTTTAACTGAGACTTTCCGTTGTCTCCACTCCTTGGTTTTGGAGTGTGAGCAAATCCTAAAATCCTCAAATCGAACAGCTGGATCAACATTTTTTTCCTACCTCTTCCCTCCAACATAGTTGTTTTGTGTTTGGCTTGTTTCCTGTTATTTTCTGGGAGTTGTAATCTCTGAATCTGTATAGAAAGTTATCATGTTGAAGGAGTCACATAAATTTTCTGATTGGGGTAGACAGTAAGAAGGAGACTTGTTCCACAAAGGTACTTTCAGGCAGTTAGGCTTGCTAATGATTACCAAATACATTTGAAGTCTGGTTTATATAATTTGTAGTTAGTGGAATTATTTCCTGTTTTTTGGAAGAAGAAATGTATCCTGATTCAGCATTTTTGTGAGCTTGTATTATTTGTTCTCATGGGTATTTTATTTTTTATTATTTTACACTCATCCAAAGGTGGAGAGAATAATATAATGAACTCCCATATACTCATCTTCCAGTTTCAATCATTTTCATGGCCAATCATGTTTCATTTGTACCTCACTCATTTATTGAAGTATGACGTATGTACAGAAAAGTGCACAGACAACAAACATATCCTCGTGTAATTAATTTGACAAATCTCAGACATCATATCATTCATCTATCTTCACATATTAATTTGATACAAACCTCAGACATCATATCATTTCATCCAGAAATATTTTAGTATGTATCTCATAATAAGGATTTTTTTAAAAGAAAATAAATACCATAATTTTATTAAAAAACAATTTTTTAAAAAATATATGTTATTGATTTTTTACAGAGAGGAAGGGAGAAGGATAGAGAGTTAGAA